CTGTGTGCTTCAGAAACGCTTTATAGGTGCACAAATGAGTCTTATGAACTACGTGGACGAGCTTCTTAGAGGAATTATTTGTTGCAAGGTCAGTGCCAGTAGCGATGCATGTCGGGCGAGCAGACCTTACCGGTAGGGAATGTTGTGGATGCCTGTCACGTTCTTTGTAGGTTAGCGACATTTATAGTGTCACACTTGTTCCGTAAATGTGAACCGAACGTCCCGACGTGGGAGTTGGAATCTGGTTCTGTATCGGAAAGTCTTGGGTTCGAGTCTTGTTCCGGATGCTGGCTGTCCGAATTGAGGTTTGTAAGTGGTACATTTATGGCTCTGAACGATTTGACTGAGGTGTTTAGCATCACTGGTAAGTTACTGCTTTCGAATGTGGACAGGATTATAACGCCAGTACACAAAGCCCTGTATTTTATTGTTCATCGCCATTGTTTGTTGCGATTTGCGTGTTATTAACTTCTGTTTTTTAATTCTTAAAATTTCAATTACTTGTCGCTATATTAATATTCATATTAATCTTTTTACCACCTCACAATCTGTCAAAGTCCTATGTTGGTACTATTTTTGAAAACGAGAATAAAGTTTATAAGATGGTGATGTGGCCTGCAACTGCATGATATTTAGTCTGTGTCGAGTTTTATGAAATTACAATAGCTGCAACACTTACGTCTATAATTAAATTGTTGTTACTGTTTCTAAAGAGCAGGTTTCTTCCTTTCTTAAAAATGTATTGTAGATGATTAATACCTTGTCACACCCAAAATGTCGTGAAACTCTTATATTCCATTCTCTTGTGTGTAGTTTTATGTGTGTGTGCGATTGTTTTTAATTTTTTTCCCATTGAATTCTCTTCGCCATGGCCGGAATCAGTTCGGCGCCAACCCAAATTTCAATACAATAAATATTCTGGACTTTTTCTCCTGGAATAAATTTTGCCGGAGCGTGACGCTGATATTTTACATTCATGGGATGTCGAAGCCAAGAACACACCCCGTGAGCCTCCATAGCGCCGTGGTTAGGTACACGGACAAATTTACCGTCACAGCATGCAGGGCCGATCTGATGACCAGGTGCGCCTCTAATTTATTCCGCTTTTGTAGAAGCAAGAAAAACAAGCAATTTCATTGTGTATTGTTACATCAGAAGCTTTAGTTTCCTGTAGCAAGTGTTAATCTTACTTGTGATGTGAAATATCCCACGATTGTATTTGCATCTACTTTGAATTTGTCTGTCTAGCATGAATTTATGGGTGTCTGTTGTTCTTTAAGCAGACAGAGAAATACATAAAGGGATGGGAAATTAATTAACCCCTTCAAGCCAAGTGATAACTGTTGCGCTGCACATTGTATTCATTTGTTTTGTATGATTTTTCGTGCAAACAGGGATTTAAACATTGTTAAGCAGTTGTTCTTCGTAATGTTAAAGTGTTGTTTTCTTTGCGGTCCGGACTGAATTTAAAGATATTAATCAGGCGACCTTCGGCTTCAAAGGGTTGAGGAAAGAGAATTAAAGAACAAAAGAATAAAAAAAACGCATGAATAAATGAAAAAACGGAAAGGCCGAGAAAACAAGTGATTTGTTCATCGATGAGGTTGTTTTCGTAATTTAGCCGGAAACCAAACTGTTGTTAGCTGACCGGAATCCTGCGGCGACCACACAGTTCTCATTGCAGTGCCTCACTGTAAGGACGTGAGTCGTGAGCGGCCAATCGCCCGTGTTTTCTTTACGTGGCACGAACTGCGGCCAGCAGCTGTGCTGACCCTGTCTCTTAGCGCTGCTTGGCGGTCATGACACACTTCGACCTTCCCACTTAACATTGTTCATCCTTACCTTACCTTATTAATCGGTACTGTGTTTATTGTTTATTGCAACTGTTTCGACACTAGAAATTGACTGTAAAAGGTTCGGTAGAATGTCATTTGTAAAATTTCACCATCCACCCTTTCATGTTTGTGTATTTAATAACGATTTTTAACTGCATAGATTATGTGGCATCAATCGAGAAGATTGTTGTGAATTATGAATGGAGAACAAAAGGCAGTGGCCTATTTTAAAGTATTGTATTATAAAATTCCTAAAGATATTGAGTAAAACCACGAAAATCCTGATTTTCTATAGCTGGTGTCTGAGTTTTGGTCTAAACTCCATTCTACTCGAAGTGGGACTATGAGAGCAACACCATATACTGAGAAATATTGTAGGATTCTTTGTGCTGTTTTTATCACATGAGTGGAACATGTAGCACGAATTTGGAATCAAGAACTTGTCTTGCAATTTTGACTGGAAAACCTCTGGAAAAGAAGTCTTGTATATCCAAGCAAAAGCCTAAATGAGGTAGGTACTAGCAAGTGTTATAAGTACGAAATTTGATGTCTTGAAGGCGGTGAAAATGAAGAATGTGGTGTTTTGGGTTATGGGTTACCAATGTTTCGAAAGAAAATAACCTCCATCTTAACTACTTCAGCTGATCTTGTACTACTAAGCATACTGAATTCTTATACTTCCATGGTTGACTTAGGATTATACTGAGCGAATTAACCCAGATCTCTCCAGACCGTGGAAGAGATTCTTGAATGAAAATCGCGTCGCCCGGTAGCATTGTCCAAGAACTCTGAGATTTATAGATGATGCCGTTCTGACGTAGGCAACATGTTGCCACATGATGAGAGAGTATCGCCCATAAGGATAAGGTTATTATACCCGCATAAGGGCGACTCTCTCTGCTAAGTTATCCACTAGCTAGTTGCGTTTCCTGTTTGCGTAACTGTCAAACAAAACTGTTTGTGTCTCATTCCACCAGGCAGACCGAATTTAAGTAACATTCTTATTAGAGAATCTGGCATTTTTCGTCACTCTCCTATTCTGGCTTTGAAATATCATCAGACGTAGACATTGAACTTGTCAAGAAACTTTTTATTTTACTTGATATTAAAATATCTCAAGGAAATGTTTTATTCAGTGATTGAAATCTCTCATGGAAATACATCTTTTAGTAAAGACGCTGGCATGTCTCGAATTATGCTTGACTAAGGCATTGAAGTCTGTAATAGGACTTTCACGCTTTCATTCAGCTATTGAAAGATCTAAAGTGGTTTACTGTTCTTTTTCAGCCATTTAAATAGCCAAGTTTTTCTTAATTCAGTCATTAGTGTGTCTCGATTGTTTATATTTGGCTGAAATTTGAAATATTTCATGCATATTACTCTAGTACGTCAGGCAGTGGAGTTCTTAAAGTCAAATATATTAAATACGTTATTCTCTTAATCATACATTGAAGTGTCTCCAGAAAGATGTAATGTTATTCAAGTACTGGCTTGTGTCAAATAAGATCTCACACAAATATTAACATATCCAAGTGATTCATAATAAGACTCAATCAAGCATTGTAGATTTATTGTGAGTTACTCACCAAATAAGGAAATTTAATATATTCAATGAGGTGTCTTACACAAGCATTGGCATATGCCCAGTAATTTTATTGTCTCGAGCATTTATATAATGCCCAGTAAGTTACTTACGCTTTGAATCGAGCATTGAAGTATCTCAAGTTACTCTGTGATTCTTGCATTGAAGTCTCCTTTTGCATTGATTTTATTTCCGTAAACTAAAACATCTTTTTAATACAACCTTGTTATATGTCTTTTAAAACACAAACTTAACGCCAAAATGTATAACTGTTTTGGACTTTTGGTCCACTTTCATTGCTAATAATTTTGTAAGAATGAGAGATATTCATAAAATCGTAATGGAACAACATCTCACTGCAGACTTCCAGAACTTTACCATATTTTGATGCACGACTGTAGTTCTTGGTGATATTACGGGTTCTCACGGAGAAGACTAAGAAGATTACTGTGTCCTGGGATAAGTGACTTCCCAGAAGACAGTCATCATCCATGTAGTGCCTAATGTCTGTAATTCATCAGTTTAAGACAATTTTTTATCTGAATGTGTGAACATTGAACTTTAAAACTGACAGGCCTGCTTATTTGCCATATACTCTCAACCTGAATCTTGTTGACAAGAGAAAAACACATAACACATACTGTTTGTTTGCATATGTAAGTTTCTTTAAAAATGCAAGTATACATATTTTCCTTCAGTTTAACGCCATTCCTTTTCAAATGTTTTTCTACTTTCTTTGAAGACACATCAGATTTCACTGTAATGGGCTATATAACAGAGCATACTACGCCTCTTTGCAACCTACTGTCGCCAATTATTCACAGATTAATTTTGTTTTATTGAAGCAGCTTCCTGCTGCTTCTAATGAGTACTGTTATTCTTGGGAATGCAGTCGGCTACAGTGCGTTCCGTAAACACGGCTACTGCACTATACTACAACAGCAAGGGTTTAAGATAGATTCGAGATTGACGGGAGTTCGTTTCGTTAAAGATGTAGATATTTCACGATACTGAGGTATTTATAGCGGTGAGGATTTGGATTGTTATCTTTGGGTTGTGACACCGTGAATTTCATACTAACGTTTTGGAGGAACATGCTTCCATCTACGAAGAATATGACACTATATTCTTCCATGATACGTAACACAACACATCTGATGGACGTGTGTTAACGAAATTAGTTGAAAATGTGTATAGTTTTCAACCGGAAATTGACGATGCTTGGCCCTGTTTGCTTGTGGCATAACAAGTCTGAGAACGGACGAAAGAATGTAGCGCCGTTCTCAAACCTCAATTTCAGCATCAGACGGCTGTACATGCGGTCGTAAGCGTACAGGAGGGACATTGAAGATAGCATGCAAATTGCCCTGTTGATGGAGGCAGTCCCGAGTGACTGTAGTGACTTTTAACAAAGTCGTAACGTGCTACGTTACTTTCTGATGACTAGGTGCATTGAGACGAGTTTATCTAGAGTACCGTACCTTGACCTCCCATTCACGAGCGCTGCTGTGTGAGGTGCCATAACTAATTATGGGGTCGTACTGGATGCTTTGGGCACGTGACAACACACATTATTGTTGCAGGATGTGCCACACCACGGAACAATGAGCTGTGTGCCGCAGGGCGCCCTCTTGGCGCTCTTGGCTGCCATCCTACACTGCACCATGACGTCACCCGTGTGGATGCCACAGTTTTTATCCGGAGGTCAGTTCATTCCATAGCGTTATACTATTTTGTTTTGCCTTTGCGGACTGTTTTATTAAACTTGCCTTTGTGCTGTCACTTTTCCTTGTCTTGTAGTCGCCTTGGTAGACTATTTTATTAAACTCACTCTTCCGTAGTCTCTGCTCAAGATTGTCGCGTTGGGGGAATGATTAAATGAGTTTAGTGAAATATTAGTATATTTTGATGTTGTGTGGAATTTGGAATTATGTTTAGTGTTTGGCAGGCGCAGGAGGATATAGGAACACAATTATAACTTGGATTTATTATAAATAACATTTTAGTAGAGACAAATGTTCATATAGTAACTTAAATTATGTAATATTTCGAATTTATTATTCAACGCATTTATTATTCATTTTAAATTGTAGTCTGAGCTACTGACAGCGACGTTAAATAAAATACAAACAAACATGGAATATTGGGGGAAGCTACCCTTCCTAAACTCACTTCTGTGGGGGTAAGGAAATGCCTGAAGTTTGAGGTAAGACAGTAAATTATATATCAGTACCTAGTGTGTACATGAAAAGACTGTACACCGTAAAAAACAGGTGTTAAGGGGTGATCTGTTGCACGTCATCTTGTATTAAAAGTTAAATTATCTCATTTAAATTAAATTAAAGGTACAGAAAGCAGTGACTAAAGAGATGCCATGTGTGAACTGAATAACTTTCGCCGCCAGTCTGCCCGACCTACAAGTATCGGTTGCTTTTAACAGTTATTTGTTCGTGATGCTTGACCTGGAAACTGGTGCCCTAACGGTGCACTACCTGCCGGGAATGTGGGTAACCTAACAAGTGTTCAGTGTCTCAATGATCAGGTAGCAGAGTCTGTTGCGATAGACAAAGGTTCATAAATCGCGGGTAGAAACGTAAACTTCCACGAGTCTACACGGCGCAATATCCCAAACGACCGCCTCTTCATACTTGCCTCTGTGAGAATCTGAAATCTCATCTATTGTGAACTAGATTTCAAGTTCTTGTATTTTGTTTTCAACTTTTGTACATTAGCATATAACCATATTTAAGCCAGTTTATAACGAAAATATTTTTTATTTAGATTGAGAATGACGCCTTTTTCATTCTTTAGAAGTTAACAAGTATCTCATCAGAAAAATTTGTATTCGTTTGACAGAGGGCTCAGTGTAATTCCCCTTCCGCCAAGATCTCCCCGGGGTCGTGGTAGTGAAGAGAATAAATAATCTGTCTCTGCCGAAAATCGAACCGTAGTCGTCCAGTCGGTAATCAGTGTCACATGAACCTGGTCCATACAGCATACGAGGGACGTTGGTATCATTTATATGAAACGGCTTGTTAGGGGGTTCTGTACTGAACATCGTGGTGCAAGTGTCACGATTAGCGCATCTGCTTCGAGTTCGAGAGGTCCCTGATGCCAGTAAGCAGTGAATCAATTCATATTCTGCACGCTAATGTTCTCATAAAAGATCCTCTTTAGTTGCTGTGGTCCTTTCTACCTTATTTTCATTCTTCCTTAATTCGTTCCGCTTATTTAGTCACGGGGCCGGAAAACTCTCTCGGATAACACTTCTCATTTGAGAAATACGTTTTTGATGCAATAGACTAGTGATGTACGTCTCGCAGCTTAAATCGTACCCTCTCGCTCTGTTATAGTCACCTATTCCCCTCTCTCAAGCACTGCGTAATTATCTGTCCACTCTCTCTCTCTCAATTACTCATTATTTTGCATACTCTGTCACTCTCCCACTCCTTCACTCTTTCATTACTCTCTAATCACTCCCACAGTCACTCACATTTTCAATACTGTCAGAGGACGGTAATCCAATCCTCCGTTAATACGCATGTAAAGTATGGGACAGCAGTCATTCATAATTTTTAACGATACACTGGTCTACCACAGTTTATTCAGAGCAATGTTAACTGAAAGACAAGTGTTTGTCATTGTTGAGGAACTTTATAATAAAGGCGCTCCTTAAAAATGACACCCGTTAGAGTCATCCACCAACATTACACACTGATGCAGTAGAGTCATAAGATTTTTCATAACGCACAGTAACACGTTCGGTGATATGGCATTAATTTATTCAGAAATTTATTACTCGGCAGTCGATACTTTAACATCGACTAATTTAACGCTTTGAAGACATTTTTTGGCAAGCCCGTTCGTTCAATCTGTCAGCTTGTGATTCCTTTTTATTTCTGAACAAATGAATGCCAAATCACCGGCCATATTACTGCGCATAATCGAGTGTTATGAATCGAGTGCTTCAATCTTGATGGAAGATATCTGACGGGTGTTATTTTTAAAAACTAACTTTGTTAGAATATTTCTCAATAATGGCAAACACCTGTCTTTCAATTAACATTGCTCTGAATAAACTGTGGTAGACTAGTGTATCTTTAAGCATTGTGAATGAATGCTTCCCTACTCTGTATTATCGTTGAATTGCTTTGGTTTAGGCAACTATGTTTCACAAGAGGACTTTTCTTTTAAAAAAACTGTAGTAACATTATTAGTACGTGTGTACCTAATTCTTAGTGGCAATGGTTTAGGTGATCATTTACTCAACTCTTAAAAATGTAAGATAAGAAGATTAGTAGTGGTTGGTAGGACAGCCACGAGTTATGATGCTCTGAGATGCTAAAACGCATTTATGAAGCACCCGAGAGTTGTTACAACAGCCCAGAGTTTACTCATAACTGTACTACTAACTGGTGAAGAACGCAGCTACAAGAACAGGCCCAAGTAAAGCTCTATAAAAGCAGGAAACTTGGGATGGATCATGGTTTCTGTGTTGCCACGTTTTTTGAGAGTAATTACCAGTCAGACACAAGATTTTAAGGGCCTCTACTTTTGTAGATACGTGTAATGCATTTCTGAATGTATTGACAGTACTAATAAGTCAGAAGGATAAGATGGGTCAGACTTAGCGCAAGCATGTGGGAAAATAGAAATGTGAATCTAGACTTAGAATGGATGGTAATACTAAAAGTGTCTTATCATTTACATGCGACTTCAACATTAGAAAAAACACCTCTTAGGTCTTAGGTTTTAAATGTTTGATATATACAAAAAAGTTTTTATACATATTTTGTGTTTTCGCTCTAATAAAAATAAACTTTATGTTGCTCTGCGTTGCTAATTCTATTGTTTATTTCGTTGCAATTACAATGATGTGTGATTAAAGCAGAATGGCCGTTAGCTTCTCGAGGATTCTATTCCATGGGATTCTTGTGATTAAATATGTTCCTTAAATTCCCATTTTTGCCGATACATTGCTTCTGCTACTTACCAGTCTAGAATGTGCGTTAACAGCGTCCTCGTGCGCTGGACCTGGCTTGACAGCTGGCTCATGTTCCTGACCAGATAACGGTATTGTGACTCTGGGCTCCAAGTTCAAGGCTACTCCTCAACAATCGCTGCCCCATCAACCCCCATATTGCACTCGGCAAGTCCGGACATCCTGCCAGCTAAGGTTAAGCCCATCCATTACTCTAAATCAGCGTTTATCAACCTATGGTACGCGAGCCAATGTTGAGTTGTACGCGAACTAAATAAGAAAATCGAAAGATAATATTAGCATAAATAAGTTTTCCCTAAACGCATTTGGTTCGTGGTGCATTTAATGTGTTTGATTAGAATTATTGGTACGCCATCGAAAAAGGGTGAGAACTCCTGCTCTAGATTATAACAAGTCTCTGGATTTGGGTCACAGCTCACTGACATGCGTCATTGCCTTTGCGAGAAAGAAATTAGTTGTGTTCAACATCAGCGGTTGTCTGCTATGGGTAACGGTGTCAGAGCAGCTTTTTGTAACAAAGGATGATGATTATAATAATAACAGTAACAACGCCTATCCTAGATCCCGCGCGTTTTGAGGGGCATGCCGTCTTGTACTGCTGCAACACGGGGAATTCGGGTTTGAATCTCGCTCTAGGTATGGGTGTACGTGTGTGGAAGTAGTGGCCGGGTCTTCTGTCAAAAGACGTTTGTATTATCATTAATATGCTTTTACGTGTGGAACGTCCGATTGTGAATACATTAACTGATTTTCACTCTTTTATTTCCATCTGTTTGCGCCTGTAGGAGGCAGACTAATTTGTCACAAACTTTTAGATCTTAATTACGAAGCAATAATTCAGGTTTGAATGGAGAGATTAACATGGCAACTTGGAAGGAATGTTGACTTTAACAGTATTACTTATTCGAAGCTAGATTGGGAAATGTTAAAAAGAAACTCGATGCAATATGAATTTTGGAAGATTCGAGGAGTGAGTGTATTGCGATTTTGAAAGGTGCATGGGTGAAACGCGAACACCTATCGTAAAAGAGGAGTGTATGTTGAAGGATATAGAAAAATGGAGAAAGCTTTGTCACACGACAATCCACATAGGTGGAATCGTTAGTGGATGATGATTAAGGCGGGACATCAGTCTGTTATATCAGCTTCTAAGTGTGACTGTCACATTTTCGTGATTCATTGGAATAATAGTCTGTAAAAGTGACACACGTTTAATACTGGCACTCCGCCCGGGCACGCATAAGGAAGGCAAGTGTACCTGTGTGTGATGTGTGTCATACAGCCCTATAACTGTATATCACAAGGACACCTACTGCCTCAGTGCGGCATGCCAAATGGACCTCCCGATCGGTCAGCGCAGAAAGTTTACCGTGCCGTTACGCCGCACCTTCCTTATTCCTGACGTCTTTCTTCAACCATCCCTCACAGATCCAAAAGCCACGAAATGTGTGATCTATGAGTGGAGATTTCACTTCAACTCTTGCTTTTGTGAAGAATCTCTTTCCGTCTATACTCTGGTGGCCATCCCTTTGTAATTACAATGTTGTCGAAATTGGTGTGATTGACTGATAAGGAAGTGTATTAATTTAAAATTCCGTAAACGCTCTTCGTAGTGCATAGTTAAGCAAAACACCAGTGACAGCTTTACTTTTATCTCAAATATTAACTGTACAAAAAAAGTTGCGCAAGTGCCACATGTACTGAGAGTGAAGTTTGTTTAGGAAGAGGTCTGTGGTATGGACCACATAATTTGTCATGTCAAGGTCATTCACTTCCTCCTCCGCAACGTCCTTATGGGCTTCACCATCCAAAGTTAAAAGAATACGAATGAGCAGAGACAGTAGTGGAGCATAGAGTGCCTTCTGAAAACAAAGACGTTAATTGCAGTTAAGTTCCTGAATGCTGTGGTGACGGTTATTTTAAGAATGGTCAACTTATACACGAGTTGTACTTCCCTTTTCAAAGAACTTAAATTTTATGTTATAGGATCTGGCCGCAATATCAGGCATCTTCCCTGTGTAAGTCGACGCACTGGAGAAACGGGAGTGTGCATGTTCGCTTTCGGCTGTATGAAAGCCAATGGTACGCACCTGGGCACTTGCATAGACAGATTCTACTTCGGGAGTTGTTGTCGCCTGCAGGAAGAAAACGGGTCTTCTATTCCAAACACAGAAGACAACAATGTGTTGCCAGTCACCACTACGACCGAGTTCAAATATTATTTGTCTACGTTCCAGTCAATACAGGACAGCGATAACAACGTCGAGGACGATGACCAGCCGACCGTCAAGCCAATCAGACCCGTAATATTGCCGACAAAGAAACCGAGTGTACCAGAAAAGAGGCCTACGCCGAGTCCGACGACAATTACGACTTCAGGACCTCTTACGACAAGAAAGAGTACGATTTTTACTAGCACAGCGATGGCAAGTCCGACCCTACCCACATATAAACCATTCACCACAGACAAGCTGACTACAACAATTACCAGAAAACCTGTAGTACAGGTGACGTCTCAGACAACTAGTAATCCGGTGTCAAAACCAACCAAACCTCCAAAAACTACGACGAAACAACCTGTTACACAGATATTGCTTACACAAACAACGACTAGAGAGCCAGTGATTCAAACAGGACCATCTGGCACGACAGACAGCCCAGTGACACAGCAAACAAGCCCTTCCACAGCAACAACCAAGAAACCGATAACGCCACCGAAAAATACGACTAGAAAACCTGTAATTCAGACAAGTTCATATACAACGACAACAGGACGTCCTGTCACGGAACAGACAGAGCCACTGAAAACCACGACAAGGGAGCCTTCGACACAGGACATCACAACAAAGGCAACACCTTTGGAAACTACGACAAAGAAGCTTGTAACCCAGACAGAATCTCCATATACAACGACCACACGGGCTGGGACACAATCATCACCTCTCGATCATACAACGAGAAAGACTACAGCCCAAACAAAACCATCTGAGACCACGACAAGAAGACCTGCAACTCAGTCAACATCAGAAACAACCACACGAAGACCTACGACTCAGTCAACATCAGAAACAACCACAAGAAGACCTGTGACTCAGTCAACATCCGAAACAACCACAAGAAGACCTGTGACACATGCCAAACCACCTGAAACAACCACAAGAACATCTGTGACTCAAACAACCTCCCAGAAAATCACAGAGAAACCTCCTGTAACCAAACCAAAGCCCCCTGCCGCGACCACGTCGAAAAAGCCAGTGGTTACAACAACCCGCAAACCTCCTACAAAGAAACCAACAATAAAAACAACTGAGAGTCCGGCAGAGACTACGACCACGTCGACGCTTGCGCCGGCATCGCTGATCACGTGGACGTTGCTGCAGGAACCGCCGCGAACAGGTGAGATCACGGCCTACTAGATACTTCGATTTACACACGTAAGACAGTATTAAAACAGAAAATCTTAATTGTCATATAATGCAACAACTATATAAAGATGGCTGTCTTCTGGGTTGATATGTTTTTTTAAACATACTTCGGTTACCAATACATACAGTTTCTTTTACTGAGATTAGAGGAATCAAACGTAACAAAATCTCATTACAAATTGTGATTGAAGTAAGTATTTTGTCAGGTTATGTTTCTAGTGGTGAATATTTTTGAGTGGCTGGAAGTGCGCTGCCAGGGCACTTCCATTAGTAATCAGTGTAATTGAATGATCTCCAAATTCATAGATCCGTTTTAAATCTTACGGTACTTCCACTAAGGAAGCTTATAAAGACTGGACTGGAGGTACGTGGAATTTTGCATCAAAATTAGTTCACAGGCGCTTGCTGCCTCTATAATCAAGAAGATGATGAAGGCAGCAAACACCTATGAAACATCATTAATGTTATATCAGACTTCGTCTAACAGACTACACTGCACTACAACTATTCTTATTTTGAAGGGAGAAGGTGCAGGGATTTTATATCAACAAAACAGGAAGATGAAATAAAAATGTTTCAAGAACTGCTGGTTCATTTTGTACTTTTTCCATTCCATCAACTTTCCAACAGAAATACGAAGTCTGTGTCATTAGACCTACAGTTCTATCACAATAACTAAGCCATTGTAATCATGTGCTAGTTTCAGCAAGGCAGTAATCACCACTGATAAGTGCTTCATATTTCATCAGCAGCTGCTCATTAACGTAGCAAAGACAGCAACAAACTAATGATCTGTAATTGTGTAACTGTCCCTGCAATAGAGTCAGCCTCTACGACCACTGCGGCATCTGATGGCTGGATCCTGATAAATGTAACCACGCACCCGCCATCTGTTGACAGCACGTCGCAAGTAGGTAAGTAAAATAGTTATTACGGAAGAAGGATCTGAGGTTTACTAATTTCCTGCCGACGGGCGTCAGCTGCAAGGAGGCTAAATTTTGTTGAGTTCGGTTAGGCTGCGTTAGGATAAGCTAAGTTAGGTTAGTGATGCACATGCGCAGACGATGCGAAATGGCGTACTAATTTTACTTACGCAATTTAGCGAACTGCTTCGTTGCCATTAACGAATATAGAAAATACAGAAACGTGGTGACTGCAATATTAAGTCACAACTTTAATATTTTCACCTATTTCGTTATTTTGGCATAGAATAAAATTAATACGTACACATAGTTAACCTGATGGTCGATTACGTGACAAAGATACGTCGATTATATATGCAGTAACGCAAGTAACAAAACTTATGTCACTGCCTCACAATAATCTTCATCCAACGAAGCAACGGAGAAAATCCATAACGATTATGTGTAATATCCGGTAGATGACGCTAGTGTAGAAATATTGCAGGTCATGGACTTAGAGGAATCCTGTCTAACACGTAGTAGTTTGCCTTTCAGTGGCGTTTCTTTATCTCCACAGTCTTTTAGTTATATTTAGCTTATTAAATGCATACAGTTATCGCATTTTAAGTTTGTTTAATATCATGTGATATCAAAACAGCGAGACTGAAAGTCAAATGACAAATACCACATTTCAGATTATACGAGGTGTGATCGGAAAGTTTCAAGACTGTTCCGCTTTGCCTAACAAAAGATTATCTATCAATTCCTTTACCCTGAAGTTACGACTCGGATCTTTGTATATATTTTTGATCAGTGCTAGGTTTATTGTCATCAGTCACCTTTCTTTTCTGTAGCTGCTGAAGGAATTTGTGCTCCGATATCATGAAGCTCTTTTTCGTACAGAGTGGTAATATTCACCTTCTTTGCAGTTCTGGCACGTCACAATTATTTACTTTTGCAGATTCATGGAGAAAAAAATGTTATTTCAGATTCAGCGCTGTACAATAACACTAGTCAGCCTGCCGTAGGAACAACGACCTCCATGTTACCGGACATACCGCCAGATATCACCACTACCTCAACTCTTATAACTACTACAATGACGACGACAACGACACGGACTACTTTTCGACCGGAAGTTACAGTTTCGACGACCGATGCGTCGAAAGTGACAAGTGAAGACACACCGACAACGAATGCCACGCAGGACTTTGACCTCAACATGACCGACTTCGTGCAAGGTAAGGAATTATTAGGACAGTCTTAAACTTTATTTTCTTGTAATGGATGTAATTAATTGCCTGACGAAGAATTCCAGCTGTCAGTTGCGATAAAATGTAGGAAAATGTAGATGCGCTTCCTGTATATATTTTACATCACACATTAAAATTTTAAGCCCAGTGGTTACTATATATGCCGTCTTCCTTGACACTGAACAACTATTAATTTCTCAGTATAAACAACTAGTATTTCCTTAACAGCATTAACCAACTAATTTTTGTGTTGGAGACGCGTTATGAGATATCAGGTTCTCGCGGCTGTGAGTGTGAAGATGTCTTTTTTGATACAGCGCCGTGTAATCTCGTAGAAAGTTACCGAAGTGTCAGGAATTCTTCAGGGTGACTTCCCTGATGATGGAGACCGTACACCTCAGAAACATTGGTCAATATCTACGGGTCTGCACGGCGTAACAACCCAGAAGACAGTTGCAGCCATATCGAACCCAGGTCTAGAAACATTGACCTCAACGTATGTTTCCAAGGCTAGCTACCAGGTGGCCACAGCGTGACTGCACGAGAAAATCTGAGTGCAATCATGCTGGTTAACCTAAAGAGACCGTTAAACACTAATCGAAGAATATTAGCTTTTCCGTTAAACCAATATGCTTATCTATACGTGGCACAGGAAGCAATATTTCGGACGTAATTTTATTGGTAAGTATTCTGCCTACGAGCCACCGCAGTAGGTTTCAAACAACGGACAATCCGAACCATAAGCTCTTTTCTTCGTTCAAATTGGAAAAAAAAATCATTTTCATATTATTAAATTTACCCAACTTTGTCCATCGCCTGAATGATAAAACAACACACAAAATAATAAATAGCATCAAAGTGTACTCGGCCAAACAAGAACTCCAGTTTCACTCATTCCATATTTAACATTCTTACCAGAAAAAATTGTTTCAGTAACCTGAATAAATAAAAATGTAAACGAATTTATTCAGGTAGTATATTTAGTAATCATTCGATAGAATTTGTTATTTGAGTTGAAAGCAAAATTTATAACTTATTTTATATTATTTCTCGTCATAGAAGGCTGTGTTCCAATCTCGATCATTTCACTTGAACACTTCTTAACAAATTGTGGAGCAAAACTTAAACATTGCTTCGCTGTGCATTATAATGTGCAAAACCTGAAAAAGTTGCACATGTTTTGATTAGTTACACGATCTGAGCGAAGAAAAATGGTAAGATGACGCCATACGGTGTGTTTGGAAATGGTAGTGACCTGCTTTGACCCTGCAGTCGCAAAGAAGGACTTCGAGAAACACCGCAAAAAAAGGGGAAAGTCAGTACCAAAAACTGATCTGACAACTCTGTAACCAAAGACTTTCCTTAAGCCAGTTCGCAAAGGATGAAAAAGTTCGCCTATTGAATGTGTATGAGTTTTTGATGAAAGACAGCTCTGACGTACGAATGTCGAAAAATCTAAACAAAAAACTTGCATTACGCGCGTACTCGGCTGCTGAGTTCATCAGCTGGACGTTCCTCCTGTCAAGTCGGAACGACGCGTGGAAGAACTACAAATCCACGAGCGAATTCAAATCGTCCCTATAGAAGAAACCAAAGAAGACTGCAATTATAAAAGATATCGATAAATTGGTTAAACTGACATTATGTGAAGGGTGCATAGTTTTCATTTCAGCAATTTAATATAAACAAGTGACAACATTCTGTCTTCATTTAACAATTATCCCAATGTTTCCGACTTTAAATTGACGACGAAACATGAATTGCTGAAGCATTTAAAGGAAAGGTTGTGTCCTGGAAATAAATACATATGAATAACAGTATTTTGTGTATGATTAAGCGACTATGCGTATGTGTAACGCAGTGTAAAGTTAGATGGCAGAATTTATTTTTACAAATGCTGTCAGTCAGACTACTTCTAGAAGTCTTCTAATGTGGGTGACGAAACTGTTGTAATTTGTTTATTGGGAGAATGGAAAAGAGAATGGCGCACGAAGGGCATAAAACGATGAAGAAACTGACAACGGTTGACAATATGAAAGAAATCGGCCACGATAAATTTCAGAATGAAGATTTCTGTCTTCTGGGTTGTTGCGCTGTGTAGTCTGGTCGATGTTTACCAACGTGTCAGAGGTCCTACTGCCTCCGTCATCAGGGCGATGAGTATGAAGATTTCTGTCTTCTGGGTTGTTGCGCTGTGTAGTCTGGTCGATGTTAACCAACGTTTCAGAGGTCATACTGCCTCCATCATCAGGGCGATAAGTATGAAGATTTCTGTCTTCTGGATTGTTGCGCTGTGTAGTCTGGTCGAGGTTTACCAACGTTTCGGAGGTCATACTGCCTCCATCATCAGGGCGATGAAGATTTCTGTCTTCTGGGTTGTTGCATTGTGTAGTCTGGTCGATGTTTACCAACGTTTCAGAGGTCATACTGGCTCCGTCATCAGGGCGATGAATCGCCCTGATGACTACACAGCGCAACAACCCAGAATACAGAAATCTTCATATTCACCGCTGTGAAAACCTCAAATCTTACAATTTCAGAATGCCTTTTCCACCATTTGTGACGCAGAAATATCTTCGAGACATTACACAGCACAGCGCATAGTGGCGATGTGTCTTTTATTTAGATCAATGTTCTACAACATGTTTTTCTCCTTCGGCACATCCTAATTTCATCTCACGGAAAGGGGGTACTTAACTATACATCACCATAAATATGTACCTTTATATAACCCTTGCCCTATGCGAATGCAGGCATATGAAAACACATTTGCTGAATGGAACCATAGACAATGAACCAATGTGTTTGTGCGTGTGTATTACGACATCCAATTACGAAAGACAAAATATTACATTTATCTTCCTCGGCCCTATAGCTTGCGAATGTACAATTTATTATACAAATTCGCGGCACACCGGTTGCGGAGCACAGATTATGAAGAAACATGGGTTTTGCAGTTCAGACGAAAGAGATTTGGCAGGACCAAATTGGTACCTCATGACTGAATGTCACGGTCTTGAGGTTAGTACTTCTTCTTCATATTCGGGAGATGCTGGGCTCAGATTATTTTACTCTGTCCGTCGAGGCAAATTCCAGGATAGTACCTTAAGTTAGGAAAGGCTGTGGTTTGTGCACAAATCCAATAAACATCACAGCGTTCTTGATTTCGATAGGAGTTTAAAATAAAACGCAAACAAATTTTAGTTGTTTAGCAAATGAGTTTAAGCGTAGTGAAAGTAAAGCCCAACGTATTCTGAACCCCGGCACTAGTGAGAGAAGTGAACTTCACGCTCCTGGACGCTTTACTCTAGTATGCAGCGACTCGACGCCCATTGGTAAGAAGGCTGGATGTGCCCTAACTGGGCACCCCTTGACTATTCAATTTAAAGACAGAGGGTACTTATCACTTAAATAAACACCTAAATAACCCGACAGAATTGATGTCATTATACATGTCCCACTTAACGTGGAACCCCGTCACCAGAGAATGCCGCAGCAGCGGCGGCGAGCAATCTTCCGGTAAATGAGTCAGCCACCGCGCAGAACGTAGCCGTCTCATGCCAGTGGGTGGGCTTCGAGTTATGTGGCACCCGGTATTACACTGTTTTTCTCTACTGAACATCGCGTTGCTTGTATTCCACATCCCAAAGTCCGTAGGTACGATACCGCTGGTGCAGTGAAACCGAGCAATTGCTGCTGGCAGTGGTTGCTCGCTCCGTCCGATGCTGAATGTATCCGTTTTAGCAGCGAATTTTGAACACGGTTGTTCGTACCACATTGCAAGTGGATTATAAACAATTAGTTACACGTTGACTGGGATTGGTGTAAGCGGTCAGTGTACCAGCAAGGCCAACGGCATAGTAATATGACTTACTGCTCTCATGGTGAGGCATCTCGGCTCTGACGCGGCGCCAAAACCGAAAACTGCGATATAGTGATGTGAGCTGATGAAGATTGTGTTGGCGTTTAGGCAGGATTAATTGTGTAGGTCACAAATCGACTGTGAATTATTCAAGTGTTACCTGAAAATTAACTACACAGCATCGCATTGCACAGTCCTGCCTTCTAGTCCCTCCGGCACCGTCTATTTTGGCTTGGTGGTCTTCCTGTGTAGCTATCTGGACACGAATTCTCCTTCCAAATTCATAAAAGTTCCCCCAGCGACGGAATGGTGGGGCTGTAGCTTAAATACCGACGCCCACGCCTCGTAGCGGGAGGGATGATGGCAGCTTCCATTAACACGACATTCCTCATCCTTTCAGTGTGCGGTCGGCGATTGTTCCCAGAATCCCGTATCGTGGGCGGAGAGAAATCTTCTTTTGGCAAATGGCCGTGGCAGGTAAGTGCTGGTGTATGCTTTATTGACATTATTCCTCAAGCGATAGTTCATCTTAATTTCTGCCTGTTCAGACAGCTTTATATAATACCCTCACCTTTTTGATTTTTCGCTCTCATTTCTCTAGCGACTAAATCGTTTAGGTAAAAATTGCTACTCTTTGGTATGAGGTCTGAGTTCTGATTGTGGTTCTTTGGATTCTGACACCGTGTAATCTTGTAGGTGATTACCAACGTTTCAGAGGAACATGCTGCCTCCATCTTAAAGACAGGAGTCACTACAAGACTATACAATGTCAAAACTCTGAAGACAGCAATATTAACACTTTTACTTTTTTTTCACATTTTATGTGGTGTGATTGGTGAAGGGGAGACAGGGAAGGTACAGAATTTTGGGGAGGCTAAACAGTGTTACATGCCCTAAATCCTTGATACATTAGATTACTTACAAAATCCATTAAATGTAAATTTTTATTGCGGGGTGTTCAATGTGAGTGATATAAGAGCTTATAAGTTTTAATAACAGAAAGAAATTAATTTTGTATTGTACGTGCACCTGTTTAAACATGTTTGTAACAGACTATTATTTGTACTGTACAGTAACAGTCTTCAATAAGCTCACTCCTGATATATAAATCTGAAAGGTTGAGAGCCATTACTGTATCATTCTGAATGTTCTTTTGGTCAATGAACAAGGATGCTTAGGGAACATGAAGTCGTGAAATGTTGGTCATTAATGGTCTCATATATTTTTAAAAACTGTTTAGAAAATAAGACATTTGAAACTACAGTGTGGCGCAACTGCTTCTGAAAGAACCTAGCTCTGTAAAGCACAAAATAAAATAACTCAAATATTGTAAAACAGTCTATTAAGAGAAATAACCATCCTAAACATGTTTGAAAGTAAAATGCTACAGAAAATATATACTCCCTAGATCTCGCTGCGACAGTGGCGCACCTCCACATACCTACACAAGTGTGGAGCAGCACTCCTGAATGAGAACTGGGCCATCACTGCGGCACATTGCGTGGAGAAGTGAGTATTCTTGCCTCGCTGGAACCAAGATATTGTTTTTATTTTAATTTTCTGTAGTTATTGATTTTTTTTTTTAAATTTTGTATAACATTTTCAACCTGGAGTGTTGGAAAGGTTTTCACACAGGCAATATTTTTGGAGCAGACATAATGTACTCATTTATCTGTACCTGCTCTCCATGCTCATTATTACTTGAATTCGTGCTGTGACTCTTTTCTGCAGCGTGACTTTATATTTGTATATGTACAGCTCTGTTACTTGAAGCTTGTAACAGTAGAAAGGAAGGCAAGCGATTTTACATTGACAGTTAGCTAATATTATCTGAATTTAATCTAATCCAAGTTTCACTGGGAATGAAATTTTGATCTGTTGCTTGGAGTTCTACCTTTAATTTTATGTGACAGTGTGCCTCCTAGTGACCTCTTGCTGCGGCTCGGAGAACATGATCTCAGCTCTGAAGAGGAACCTTATGGGTACCAGGAGCGGCGTGTGCAGATCGTGGCTTCACATCCTCAGTTTGATGCCAGGACATTTGAATATGACCTGGCTCTGCTGCGTTTCTATGAACCAGTAACATTCCAACCCAACATCTTGCCAGTCTGTGTGCCCCATGATGACACCAATTTTGTGGGTCACACAGCCTACGTTACAGGCTGGGGTCGTTTGTATGAGGGTGAGTGTCGTGGATGTACAAATATACTGTACTCTACGCACACTTAGCACATTGGTTAAGTGTTTCTATTATTAACTTGCCTCAATCCTGTATTCTGTGTGGAATGGCTGAGAATAACCAATAGTAATTTTATATATGGTGTCTTATATTTGATTTTCTAATGTGCCTACTGGCACAGTACCTCATGTGGAGGCTCGTAAAGCAAGACATTTTTGAAGTACTGCTCTGTACATTTCTAAAATAAGTTCTGTGAATGTTATGTTAACCTTTTATTTATACATCACTTCATATATGTCATTCAAACGTTTGTCGGCATTGTCTCTACATCATAATTTTCAGTAGATTAAAGTCTAAATGTTTCAAGTATCCTATTAGATATTCACAAAATGTTCTGTGGTCAAGTTTGTTTTTATCATTTCATGTCGTTCACACCGAAGCATCGCTGATTATATTTCTTTTCACTATACTTTAAGTACTTTAGTCCTAGATCTTTATAGGTGCTAGCTTAACAAGAGCCCCCTAACTCAGAGGGTCATTGGAACATCTTTTCTCATCATCAACTTTTCCAGAATAAGAGGTTGTTTAATTTGTTATGATTGTATCATAACATTTTGACTTTCCCTTGAAGCACGTATTCCCCATCATAAAATCAGCTGGAAAGAAAGGGTTTTTGTTTCTTTGCAGAATTCATTTCTATGGCAAGAATTCAGAGGGAATTAATTCTGGTACTTTCTCGTTCTTAGATGGACCACTGCCTAGTGTGCTGCAGGAGGTATCAGTGCCAGTGATAAATAATTCGCTGTGTGAGACCATGTACCGCTCTGCTGGCTACATTGAGCACATTCCTGAGATATTCATTTGTGCAGGATGGAAGAAAGGTGGCTTTGATTCATGCGAGGTGAGCAGTAGGCTGATTAATGATTTCGTAAAACCCCGTGACAGTAGTTGATTCATTATAAGAACACTATGTTTTACCATTTTCATTCTCAGAGTCATATTTGATGTACTCATGTATTCAGGTGATTAGTTCTATGATAACAGTTAGATTTTTAAAAAGATTTGTAATAACAATTTTTAGGCCACCCCAGATATCTAGTAGTTAATGTACTAGTTAATACAAATGTAATATTTTAGGGTGATTCTGGTGGACCCATGGTAATCCAGCGTCCTGACAAGCGTTGGTTGCTGGCTGGTGTCATCTCATGGGGCATTGGTTGTGCAGAGCCAAACCAGCCAGGGGTCTACACACGCATCTCTGAATTTAGGGAATGGATCAACCAGATCCTACAGTTTTAGACTTATGACATACAGGTGATACTAGACGTTCTGCAGCGCTTTAACGGTCTTTACTCAGCTTTGCTGAGATAATGAACAGATGATTTTCATCAATGAAAATGCATCCAACAAATCCTGCAGTTGTGACATGACCAGCAGACAGGAACTACAAGAATTCTAAATGTCTAGAATACCCAGAGCTAGTCATGAGAACAAAGATCTTGCAGTTCTGACGTGACGGAAATTCTGAATATCTGATATGGTGTACAGATAATTTCATGTAATATGACTATTATTTTGACATTGTCAACAGAAGTCATGATGACAGGACAGCTGTCAATACAGTTATAATGCAAGACTAGAGTTATAAATTGTTTAATAGCCACAAAAATTAAATATTGCAGTCTCATGTAATTCTAACAAGAATGTTTGAGATAAAGGATTACCCAGATCATCAGTATGTCATGTGTGAAAATTGTAACAAGCAGGTTAGTTCTATGTTGACTGACCTCATACAATGGGCTATAGACAACTGAAAATCAATACATTGGTTTATGTAAAATTTAGTGAAAACCAAGTGATGGAGACAGGCAGAGAGACAAAAAATATTCAGGATAATAGAGTGACATATAATGGTATCTGTACTACCGGATGCGTTGAAAAATAATGAATAGTACATAGGTAGACAGAGAACAGAATAAATAGCGAGGCAGAAAGACAAGTTGCAAAATTGATTGGCTGAACCAACGGAAGTGCCTCCAGGATAAGATGCTCTGAGAGCAACTCTGACATCCTGCACCAATATGTACTGCCAAATAAGTGTTATTGAAGTAATTCACACAGTGACTTAAATGCAGCAGGGAAAGATAGAGATCATTATGTTGGCTGCAGTGCCATGATATACACAAGAAATGGAATACCATGAGCTATGATAATAACAGCGAATGAACATACAGAGAACTTCCAGTTTAACAGTACTTAATTTAAGCTTACCCTCCTTTAATATTCATTGTCAGCACTCCCAGTTACATAATTTTCATTGTAGGTTTTCCTCCATCTTAGGTTTTCTACGAATCAGATGCCGCCTAAAGAACGTTACACGGGATGTCACTGTATTCTAACTATAAACAGAAAGTCCTCTTTTATTAACAACATTGAAGAAGTAACAATGAAGGACAATATGATTATATCACTTTGTACTAAACTGTACAAGAAACTAAACATGAAATACCAACCAGAGGGCAAGTGGAACTGCTGTGATGTTGGTATCACTTTGAACATAATTAAAGTTAATGTGCCAGAGAGTTGTGAGTGAATGAAAGTTATTTATATTGTGAAGTGAAGAGTTGTAGCTCTAGAATGAACTTAAGAATCCGATGTCAAAATGAGTAACAGCTTACATGCTGTGGGACATTGCCTTCCTCATATTGTCTAGTATTTTATATATAATATTTTGTATAAAGAAATACAAATTAAGGATTACAAAAATTCCTTATATAAAATGTTAATTTTTTAGTCCATTCATGACAACGAGGAAATTTGTGAAGAGCAGCACCCAGAATTTTTTGCATTTTGCAGTATCTCCATCATTAGTTTTTATCAGTCTGAAATAGACATTCAGGTTAGTAAATCATTAATCATGTATACATAGGTAACTCAAGTAATAAGAATATACTAATTAACTTATGGAACAGAAAACTTCTGGGAAACTTAAGATTTGCTTAGCTAGTCAAGAAATGACCTGCCTTTTATGAAACCTGAAGGTTCATCATCTTGTCTACAAGAATCTGTCACCAGTCCCTATACTAAATCTATATGAATCCTGTCCACACACACTCACCCTATTTCCTTCAGACACATTTTAATGTTATCCTCCCATCTCTTCTCAGGGTTTCCAAGTAGTCTCTTGTTTTAAAAGTTTCTGACCAAAATTGTGTATCCACTTCTTATCTCTTCCATGCATGCTTATTGATTTAACCAAACAGTGTAATTATGAGGGCATACAGGACAGAGTGCTTCAATTACAGTTAAAAAGAACTAGTTTATCAGTAGCTTTTATAGTTGATACAGTTGAATTCTGGGATCTGAGAATTATTTGAGAAGTACTACACAGTGAATTGATGTGCAAGTGGTGAATTAAATTCATGCATAGATGGACTTGGACCTTGCAGACATTGAGACATACAAATCATCAATATTCATTGTAGCCTGCATAAAAGTAAAACAGGAAAATATTATTATTAAATCCTTTTTGAAAATACAAGAATTAAGATAAAGACGAGGATATTTGTAGTTAGTTTGTTGATGATAAAACTATTTGGATTCTGAGGTTCTGAAATATAGTTTGTGTATCTGTTCAGAAACTAATAAATGAGATTATAGCCCTGGTAGCAGGAAGAGGAGTGTAGAATTTTGATTACACTAACTATAACCAAAGAATTAAAAAAAAATAGTTTAGCAGTCCTACACATGCTGGAAGGTCCAAAGAAGTTCTCAAGGTATGTCCTTGTATTCAATTACAAATTTTTATAACTGGTGTTCTCTTTTATGTGGGAACTGCTAGGTTATGTGCCTTCACAAACAGCAGTAGTTCAGTGTGCTCAAACACTAAATGGGAAACTTTAGCATAAACTTTCATTAACGTGCAGGAGTACAGTTTCCTAAACCAGGAATACAGAATGTTATAGTTGAAATTAAATTCATGTGCTTGGGAATGACAGTAACAAATTACATTTTCAATCACAAAGGATTTAAGAATATATTAAATTCTAGGAATACTTGCTACAGATCAGTTTTAAAAATTTGTCCTACCATCTATCTATATCTATAAAAGTGATTAAAAATACAAAACTAATTTTGTATATAATTTTGTTGGGTGTGAAAACTGGTCTTGTCACCTGAGTGAAGAACATAGCTTGAGGATGTTTGAGAACAGTGTGGAGGATAATATTGGAACCTAGGAGGGAGGAAGTAGAAAGAGGTTGGAGAAAATCACACAGTTAAAAGCTTCATAATTTGTATCCACCAAGTATTTTTAAGGTGATTGAGGAGGATGAGATGAGCAGGAAATGCAGCACACATGGAAGAAATGGAAACAAAATATCAGTTGGAAAACCTGGAAAGACAAACAGTCCAGGCCAATGTAGATTTTTTTTTTACTTTCTTTTCTTAAAATTTATTACAGGTGTTTTCCCTGAGTATAAAGCTGCCAGGAGGAGGCTAGGGCTCGATTTTGGGCTGTTACGCCATAGTAGTAGTAGTAGTAGTATAAAGCTGCCAGAGTGAGAAGACAGCCATTAATCTCCTTAGCCTATCACTGACGGGCTTACCTCAATACCCCCTATAAGCCTTCATGGCGTGGTGCTTAAACGCAGTGGTATTATATTTTTACATTCGTACAAGACGCAAAAACCATTAACAGGCTTTGATCATGAAACTTACTTTCCGAGTAAACGGAGTAAGGACGTGACGATTAATCGATGAGGAGAATCGACTAATCGAGGTCACTGTTACTAGGATAGTGAAGGTTATTTTAGCTTCCGGTTCGATGTGGTAAAGAGCCATTCAGGGCAGTTAGAAGCCATCGAATAGCGCGGCAAGTGGCGGTGTGTTCATGTATAAAGTACATCCTTTCTTCCTTATATTTATTTCTTCCGCTAATTATCAGTGAAAGCTCCGGTGATCAATGAGTATCTAATAACCGTGTGCAAGTTGGCATTCCATAAATGTTGTTAGGTACAATGAATGCTGAACGACATAATACTGCACACTCAATCTCGGAAAGAATATGTCTGTTGTGAAACTGAAGACTGTAAGATGGGTCATTGAAAATTAATATTAAAATTCTTTCACTCATTACACATAATTACGTAACGTGATCATGATTTCACCAGTTCAGCTACCAACGTAAGTATCGAAAAGATTCTTTTAATACATTCTCACCTCAATTCCATTAGTTACTTCACCATTTTAAATTATTTTTTATCTCCTGTTTTTATGTTTGTGATTTATTGTAAGTAAACAAGCTATATAGCGTCGAATTATTGGATAATTTGTGAAGAACGGATTTGAGTCGATGTGGAAGGAAGTTTAAATCTTTGGAATTATAGATAAAAAATGGGATATAAAATAATATATACTAAAACGTGGGAAATATTTCCTGAATTTAATCTTAATTTTGTAATTATAATCTCGATTTACTACCGACTTTCGAAAGTACGGCACTTGAACTTATCCACATTTTTAAGTATTCATTTTGCTATCCGCTTATTATGATTTAATCTTGTATTATGTGACGAGACATGAAAATACGGTAACAAACAGTCAAAAATATCATCGTTCAGTATCCTCGGCAGTTTATAACATGTCAGCAAATAACCTAATAATGGTTAGGAGCGGATCCAAAGGTCGCTGTTGTGCCAGGATCGAGCAGTAGGACATGCCTTCTGATAATGTGGGTTATGTAAACCATTCCAATAATATTCGTCCCACATTCGAGCTGCAGTTGTGACGCCATCGGGGTCAAGCATTTGCCTTGCCTAGTTCCAACCATCTTCATCGCTCTGTAACCGGGTTTGACACTGGGCAAATTCCGCATAAAAAGTAAATAGCAACTGTTGCACTAAACCGGGCCGGAAAGTGGTCATGTCTTCTGGACAGGTGGACATTTCTCTCTGACTTCCCGGGCAATCACTTTCAAGACATGTCCAGTGTTTGCTAGTGGCACAAGTCTTACGT